TATTTGTAAAAAGAATATGGAAAATACATATGTGAAAGGCAAATACATTATATATTTTAAAGTAATATATTTCTAAAATATTGTACATACACAATACATCATAATGAAAATTTGCTAAGGACACTTTGTTAGGATCATTAATCCTCTCACTAGGACCTGTTACAGGTGGAAGGTTAATGCGAACTTCTGTAGAATTTGCACCAGGACCTGTTACAGGCAGAAGGTTAGTACTCCTTTGCGAATCTCTAAAGAATTAGTAGTCGACATGTTTCTTGGTGAGAATTAGACATAATGTAAAATTTTTCTCCAATTTTATAAGAATTCCAATACTCAAAGGGGATATAACAACTTATTTCTTTTGCGAGAATTAGTTATTAAATGAATTTCACTGAAATATATTTTAAGCAAAATTTCATTGATATTTTTATGTCATGTTACATCATATAAATATTGCAAAATCGTTAAATGCAATTTTTATAGAATTTATATAGCTCTACAATGCTATATAAATTTTTTATAAAAACTTACAAACTCAATGTAAACTTATATAGTTAGAATTCTTACATATAATATAATATAGTTTTTATATAAATTTTATTTAATATTTATATAAACACAAAATTTATATACATCTACATAAAAATAATTTTATCTACTTTAGCTGATTCTCAAAAGTAGCTAAGGTAATCACCACTCGATATATTAAATAAAAATGCTCATCATGCTCGAAAACCTTTCCCAACCCTAATTTAAACTTTAATATCTAATCCTAGCTTCAAAATTTAATTCAAAAATTTTTTCAATTTTATATAAATTTATATAAAAAAAATGACTTGGTGATGAAGCTTAGAAAGAAGTAAGAAAAGAATAGATGTGATATATAAGATTAAGAGGAAGATTAGAAATTGAGTGCCTTTTTTTAGTTGCCCGACTTTAGTCTGGCTTTTTCGTGGTTCTCTCACCCAGTCTCACACCTCAAGAGAAAAAAGAAAGAATGAATAAATGAAAAGAGATGCTCGAGAACTCGCTTGCTAACTTAAGTTACAAATTTAGAAACTAAAATTATAGGAAAATATAAAAGAGAAATAAATGGCCCGAAGACTTGCTTACCACAATTTAAAGTTTTGTAAGGGAAAATAAGGAAAGGAATGAGTAGCTCAGGAATATGCTTACCCATGTATGTGCAAAATGCTCGGTAATTTGCTCTCTGACTCCGCATATATGAATCGTGTGTAATAAGAAAAAAAAACAGTCACAGTTTTTCATGCACACACCAAATTCTCTTGCTTTTCACCACGTAATCTAAGCAAATAGTTTGTAAATATATATATATAATAGTTAAGAAATTTTGTAAAGCATGAATGTAAATGATGGGACATGTAAAGAGCTGCAGTCCTAATGTGTTGTTATTTCATTAATCAATAAATTGATCCGAGTGAGAATAGATATATGCATGTATAGCAGCAGACAGGTACAGTATTTACTAAAATTATGATGTTTATCTAAAAATGTGAATTACATTATGTACTAATAGAAATATTCAGTGAATTTGAATATGTGGATTAAGGTTACTTGAACATGCTTTAAAAATGTATAATGTGGTTTTATGATATGACTTGGATCATAATCAAATATGTATGGCTTATATGAATCGATATAATTTGGCCAGGTTAACACTTGCTCTTAATTATTTGAATCAATATAATTTGACCAGGTTAACACTTGCTCTTAATTATTTAGCCACGTTCAAGCACTATCAACTTCAAGATTCATAGGATGACTTTTATATATTTGCTGCTTAAATCTATTTAATTGTGCATTATTTATACAGTTTAAAGTACTTTTTTTTTAAAAAAAATAAAACTACAAAGAA